GCAGCGCTTGACAAGCACCATCAGGCTGGGATCGACATTCTTAAAGTCGAGCTGCTTACCCAACACCGCCACCATGCTCAAGGCCTCGATAGGTTTAGAACCACGCGTCGACCCCGTCTTAGACATCCCGTCAACCAACAGCCCCCTCTCGAACAAGATCTGCCTCAACCCCTTGACCTTGCCTACGTGGTCGGTGGCATCGGACGCATAAAATGGGACCTCGCCCGGCTGGAAGGTGAGGTATTGCGTCTGCCCTTTCTTGAGTTTGGGTGTATCTTCCTGAATCTCCACCGGGTGTTGAGCATCTAAGTCCACGCTCTTCCTCTTCCCCCCGTATCCTAGGTCCATGCGCGTCACACTCGGCGACCCCTTGTCAACGCAGTCATGGCACGACGACCAGTCGAAAAAACAAACAGGCCTGTGGTTAGGAAACTTTACTGCCAGCAGATCAAGCACATCCGCCATGTGATCAAGCATCAAAGCCCCCGTCCACTAGCCGTCCTTGTTCTTGCCATACTCAAGCTTGTAGTACGTGTGGAACATGCTGGCTTCCTCGTGAAGCATCGAGTTATCGCGGTACTTCTCCGGCTCTGCCACCCCTTCCGCCACTGCAGCCTTGCGGCACCGCTGCCTCCGCAGCTCTTGCGCCTTGTCGATGTCGGACTGGTTACCCGCCACGAACCCCACGTTGTCCACGATCGTACCGGATATCATAATACCCGCCCCCTCTCCTTTCTTCTTTAGCCCGTTGAAGTTTGGCGGGACCCACGAACAGCGCTGGTCATCATTCCCCCTGTACATGCACTCGTCTTGGAAGCAGAAGATAGCTCTCTTGCCTTCAGGGTAGGCCTTCTTGCTAGTGACTCTCTTGCGGAGGTGCTCAAGAAGGTTGCAGAGCGTCTCCTCGAAAGCATGCACGCACACCCAAACCCGACCCTCCTCCCCCCTGTTCTGCTCATGCGTTCTCACTCCCCAGGCCTGCGCCTCTTCCCAAGTCGCATCGATCCAGACTTCCGTGTAGTCAAGGTGCTCAAAGTACACCGGGAGGTATTCCTCCACCCGGTACTTCAGCACGTCCGCGCGGTCGTGGCCGTCGAAGTACAAGCCCGACCACGGGTCGGGTATTTGCACCCCAGCTTGTGAAGCCAGGACGTCGCCGTGGTGAGGCTGATCGAGTACGTCACGACCCCTTCCTTGGACGTGGTCTTCGTGACGGGGGCGTGCTCGAACGAGTTGAACGCTGGTATCTCCCGAGTCATGTCGGTCGCCGGGACTTGTCGGTCTTGGTCGCTGCGATTTCCGGGATGATCGCTCTCCGCCACCCTGTACTCTTGGAGTCTCTGGCGTAGCTCCTTCGGGCCGAAGCTGCCGCATGGCCTGCCTGCGCCTTCGCGCTTGCCGCCGCGCTTCTCGGGGCGTGCATGTTCAGCAGCGCTGGCATGACAGCAGTCCCGCGGTCTCTTGGTTCGAGCTGCCGCCGCCTCCGCTTCTGCCTCCGCCTCAATGCGGTGTGTTCGTGAGTCTGCGAACATTGCTGTTGGATACATGTGCTGGATGATTTTGTGTCACGCAGACTGGTAAGATAACCGTTTGATAGGGGGCACCGCGATTATTCA